AGAAGGAGATGAAGTTCAAGGCGTTTCTCACTGAAAACGGAGTGAATCTCTTAGAGAAGAGGTTCCTTCCAGCATTTGACAAAATGGGCAAGACCTGTTACCTCTTCCTCACTAAAGACCACTTGTTCTTCCTCCACAACCTTCTCAACGGTGACGGAGTCCAATGCATTGCTCAGTTCCGCATAGACGTCCTCTTTGATGACTACCGTATCTCCAGCCAGAACGATGACCGTATCGCCTTCTCCTTGGATGTTTCTCTGCTCTACCGAGCTGTGAAGAGCAGTGTCAGCATTTGCACTGAGTTCAGCGGCGGGTTGGCTTCTAATAGATTGCAGATCAAGCTTGTGAAGAAGCTGCCTCCTAACTGTACACAACCAATGCCTTTCCTCACGTTTGAGACTAAAGGGTATAAATCTGCAGTTATTCAAGATGTTCCCATCTCTAAACCGCTGTCTCGGTCTCAAGTTGTTGAGCTTCAGACCGCTCTTGACTCGGCTCAAGACCTGCCTCCCACCCTTGTTCAGGTCCAGGACCCGAATCAGTTACAGAACTTTGTGGATCGTATGAAACATGTTGGTGATGTTCTTAACGTTACGATAAGCAAGCATGGTGATCTTCAGGTGCAGATCTCCACGACTTTGATTAGGCTTGGCTCGGAGTTCCAGAGGCTTACGGTTATTGGAGAGAAGTCTCAGGCTCCTGCTGAGGATAGGAACTTGAGCGCTCAGGCACGGTCAGAGAGAGCTATTGCAAGAGGAGATGCTCAGTCTGTGGAGGTGAGTGTCAAGCACTTTTTAAAGAGTCTTCAGTGTCACTTAACAAAACCAGATTCAGCTTTCTATGGGATTGCTCCTCAAGGTGCTTGCTTGACTGTCATCTTCCAGTTCCTGGTTCCAGGGACTCGCCAAACCGATAAATCAATCAGTTTGCATTGCCGCCTCCCTGTGTTGGATTCAGGCTCCAACTAAATTTTAATGAGTGTTAGTAGTTTGCTTTTGTGAGAAAGATTTTCCGCGAAGACCATATATGTACTGCATTACACTCCCTTACAAGCTCTCAAGCATCAATGATTAAAAACAAGCAACACCAAAATCAGATTCTTACGAAAGAAACAAAGAATGCGTGAAACCGAACAACAGACTTTTATCTACTCTTGTTCTTCTTTTTGATGGTCGTTCTCTTCAGAGATTACATCTATAGCTTCCCCTCCTTAGATTCATTCATAAGCATCTCCACAACCTCAGACATTGTTGGCCTCTTCTGAGGCTCGCTCTGAGCACACATAAGCGCAACCAAAACTAACCTTTTCAGCTCCTCTTCCACATACTTCCCATTCAGTCTTTGATCCACAATCTCGCCATATTTCTTCTCGTAAACCAGAGGTAAAACCCATTCAGTAATACCCCGGTTTGTTGTTTGGTTCAGTTTTTCTATAGGTCTCTTACCGGTAACAAGCTCCAGTAAAACAATACCAAAACTATACACATCTCCCATATATGATTCTCTTCCTGATTCAATACATTCTGGTGAGAGATACCCAATGTTATTACCACCAGCCTTGGTGGTTTTAGTAGCTCCATTTTCATCTGGCATCAGCTTACCATATCCAAAATCAGTAACCCCAGCTTCAAACTCTGAATCTAGCAGCATATTGCTTGCTCTCACATCTCCATGGACTATCCGAGGTGTTGCATGATGGTGTAAGTATCTGTACACAATTAAAACGAATAATCAGTCTTAAGGTAGATATTTTCCCAATTTCCATATCTTGATTCTTGAAGTCTTACGAGATAGCCTGAGCAGAGGTTACTGCGATATTCATCCGCCTGGTCCAATCAAGAAGCGACTCAGAGGAATGCAGACCATGAAGATGTGAAACCAAGCTCAGATTTGGCATGTAATCATAAACAAAGATTCGTTCTTGTCCTTCTGCGCAGTAGCCTCGCAAACTCAATAGATTCTTGTGGCGAATACGTGCGAGAACCTCGACCTCTACGGTAAAATCTGTCTCTTCTCCGCTACTCCATGCCCTGAGTCTCTTGACTGCAATCTACAGACAAGAACAAGGACTCATTATTAGAAATGAATACCAAAGGAGACAAAGTTCTAGATAAAAATTCTAAAGATCATTACTTGAGATCCAGACGATAGCTGACCCCAATACACACTACCAAATCGACCTTCGCCGAGTTTGTTATCATAATTAAAACTGTTAGTGGCTGCGTGAAGTTCCTTAAGTGTAAAAATTGTCCATAATGGCTCAGTCTTCACCTTCTTTCTCCTGTGTGACATCAAAACAAACAAGACAATAGTTTCTCACTTCCTCTTTATGTTACCAAATCTGAAACCGGAGCTAATCCAACAGTGTGTTCTTGTCCGAATATTCCAACAACTAAAGAAGAGATTTTGAACATGCATAGGTTTCTAGGCCCCAGCATCCTTAAGAATCTCAAAGCCCAGATTAAAAGAAACCTCCAAATTAGTTGAATCAAGATAAACCCATACTTACCCATTAGATCCTTTTCCGCAACAGAAGCAACAACAAAACTGCATCTTTAAACAAACCCACACACACACAAAAAAAAACAGCTCCTTTCGTGTAGAGACTCTTCCTCGTTGATGCCAGAGAGAGAGCGTTAAAGCAAAAAAGTACCGCCTTTTTGCCTGGAGAATGTAACAGTAACGCAAAGGAAACTCCTTTGGTACTCAAAAATCTCGTTGTAATGAACTTTTTTTCTTTTTTACTTCTTGAAGCTTGAAGAGAAACAAATATTAAGTATTCCCTCAGTTCATTATAGTTGTCATTCTAAGTTTGTATACACAAATTAAGAAAATATTTAATTTTACATATTTTCAAGATAAAAACACAATTAAATATACATTTAACCACTTTTTAACCAATAAAAAAATATAATATTATATAATACTAATAAATTTTCCTCAAAACTCTAAAAAAATATTTAATTAAAGACAAAAATTTAAGTCTAGAATGAAAATATTCTGAATCGGAGGGAGTATAAAATCTCTCTCTATCTATATATTAAAACCTTTTTGGCTTCTGTCGCCTTTGCATTTTAATGTGTCGAGTTGTTTTATTAGATACTTTATAATAATAGATTAAAATATTAGTGTGAATGATTGTACATCTCTCCATATATATATATACTAGGTGATAATTTGCGTTTTGCGTGGAGTGAGTGAATCAAAAATTTTATATAATGAAATGTCTTATTATGCAATTTTATATAATGTAAACTTTTTTTATGAAAAAGATCGTGTTATTGGATAGGTTACTTAAAGTCTATTATATGAAAAAATAAGATTAAGAAATGACTTTTTAAATATAATAATATATTAATAAATAATATAAAATGGTAATATAACTATTTAATTCATACTAAAATTATGATGATAATAATTAAAACAACATAAGTAATAGAAAAATAAAACATGATATAATGAGAAAATTGTCTTCAAAACTTTTGGTTTGCAATCCAACATAAAAAATAATAATTAATAAGTTTACCAAACAACATACACTCTTTTACAATTTTAAACTAATTGAAATGATATACTTCTTTCAGAACGCACTGAGTTCTGGAATATCATCAGGTTCAAAAATGATTTTTGAAAACCCATCAATGTTTCAGATATTCTTGAATTTTCTTTATTCCACTCATATTCGGTGATAAACAGTGAAATGCTTAGGTTGTGATAGTGTTAAGTGGTTATCAAGAAGATATATATATATATATATATATATATATATATATATATATATATATATATATATATATATATATAGTATTCTTGAGGAAAGGGTTTAGCCTCATTAAAGAGAGTTACCGGCGTGTATGAATTATAGCAACGTATATCAATCAACAGATTTTTTCATGATATTTTTTGATCAAGCAAATCAATCTTCGCTTGAATTGTTCAATCAAATATATTTACCTGATTACGAATATTTAAAGCACATCGCAGAAAAGGAGAGGGTTTGAAGTGGTCATATGAAAATCTGCAATTAGTTACATGTTTTTAATTAATCAGCCATAATGCACTATACACTAAATGGTTTTATTTAAGCTTCCTAAAATAAAATATTCTAGACATATTAGATGATCAATCACAATTAAAAAGACTTACCACATCTGTAATTACGTTATACCAAACCAAGATTCTTCTGCACAAGTTATATTTAAACCATTTATCTGATATTTATCTCTTTGAAATATCAAGGCTAGACATATTAAACATGTTATACGAAATCAAGAATCCGTAGCACAAGTTATATTTATAAATTAGTTGTATTAAACATGTTATATCACTCTTTTATTTTATAATTTGTTTTACATTCGAAATACCTGGAAAAAATTCCACAATAATTTAAAAGCTTTCTTATGGTCCAAATATAACTTTCAACAATTGGCCGAGGCATGACATTTGATATCAAATATTATTTATGTGTATACGTTAAATGTTATTCACGTTTGAGATTGTATATTTGTAATGATTAAGCTAAATAATTAAAGAATCAATCTCCGATCTTGGTTTCCTTATATTTTAAAACATTAAAAGCCAACTTAACTCAAGACGTACATATGAAATACATTTTTGAATCAATTCATAATCTCGGTTTGGGGGGATATGATCTTAATCGTTAAGCAAATACAAATATACATAATATGCATAATCCTTATAATATATACTAATTCATAATCACCGTTGGATTTGTTTCGTTATCATAACCACCAAGATAGATCAACAATATCAACAATATATAATTGTTTGTCGAATATTCTGGCAAATTTGTTAATCCAGAATTGTTTCATATATACTCATTTCATAATCACTACCTGCGAATATACTCATTTCATAATCATTACCAGTATAACTTCAAAAAAATTTTAGTTACATGTATGATAATATGATATACGTATAATGCCATTTTGTGTAAGTTACATGTCCAAATAATTGTGACACGGGTTGTAGGCTCCAGAAATATATTCGCGGGTTGGTTGGTTATGGTTTACTAACCAGGCAACTAAAAAGTATAGTATAGAATACTAACGTATGCATGCTTATAGGAAATGTATAATGGTAATCCTTTGTAATTATTCTAGTAATGAGAGACCTTTTTGATAAAGCTTCTGAGAAGCGATGTGGTGCTGCCACATAAGTAATGGGAGTTCATTAATCACACATCATTGCAAGGTTTCTTTTTTAAAATGTTTCTGGATTAATACTTAAGGGATATGTGGTATTTAATAAACTGTAATATTCAAAATTAAGTAGGTGTTATTTATATATAAAAGTTATTATTTGGAATTTTAAAGCTTTGCTTTTTATGGCATGTTGATGTCAATGAACAATATTCAAAAATTATTGGGGCATAGGAAAGGTCTTGGGATTAACGAATTATTGATTTTAAATTGTTGATTTGATATATATATATATATATATATATGTATATTACATTTATATAAGATATTTTACTTTTTCGCTTTAATTATAAAATTATTTTGACGAATTATCAAAATTAGATATGCAAAACAAAAGAAATTAGACAAATTTATGGATTTATACTAATATTCTTGCTTAATTACAAATCTAGACTAGTATAAAATGATTTGAAATAATTTAAACCACTTTTAAATGGTTTAAACCGATTTAAATTGTATAAATCGTATTTTCTGAAAATCATTTCGGATATGATTGATTTGACGCATAAGTGCCGTTTAGACCGATTTTTAGAACTTCGATAATGAGTCATAATAACCAATCAAAAAGTTTTGGAGTGTTTTTTTTGCATGTGAAAATCCGAAGGTGTATGTAAATTTGTTTATTAGAACCAGATTAAAAATGAGAAACATCCAAAAAAATCTCCAACTTACATAAAAGCCAAATTAAACTACAATTTCTGCCAAATATATTGTCATCTTATTAGCGACTCAACTCATATGTTACCCAAACGAAAAAATGTTGATATACCAAGAATGTAGGTATAATGAAAGTTCTCGGATGTTGTTACTGTTGTCTACACACATCAGTGACATCTTGAACTTAAATTTTGAAATGATTTCAATCTTTGGTTTTTCAGCTATAATTTTGGTCTTAAATAATACAGATGCAACCGATTTTTAGGTGAGCTGATAGTTTGATAAATGTATCTAAATCATACTCATCGTTATTATAAATATTTTGTTAATCCACTTTAAAACGAAACAAAAATGTGAACTCAAGAGTAAAAAAATACTAATATTCTGGTTTCAGAGAGAGAGAAATCCGTTAAAACTCAGATTTTTAAAATGAAAGAAACAACATAAATTTCCGTTTAAGCCATTATAATCTCCATGTATTAAAAATTATTCATCTTAAACTTCAGTTTTCTATGAACATGCCATTTCAGATACACAAAAACTGAACCTTTAAACAGATTAATGTTGACCTTTCAGGTATCTAAAACGGCTTGGTCAAAAAAATATGAAGTTTAAAATGGACAATTTCAAAATTTTGGGGATTAAAATAAATTAAACTGAAGTTGAAGGTTTTTTTCGCTTTTGTATAAATTTATGATTTCTTTACTGTTTTCTCACTTGAAAAGACATAATTTACCTCCTATTCATTTTTTGTATTTGGACGCAACATCTGTGTAAAACATTTAGATATCGTATCCAAACTTTTTTATGGTTTGTATTTATATCAAGATAAAACATTTATATGCTAAGTTGTTCATTTTTAGATTTTATAATAGAATTTGAATGCTTACTAGTTAATGAAACTTAAATGTAGGATTTTACTATTAGTAATGAAAAATAAGCATATTCAAATAAATATGTTAAAAATCATATTTGTAACAAAATAATATGATATAAAATAGTTTTCCAATTGATCTATCAATAGGAAAACACGATTTTGTTAATTTAATGGTAAACACGATTTTATGATTTTGACGAAAAAGTGATTTTCCAATTTTAATGAGAAAAGGTGACTTTTTGGTTTTACAAGAAAAAACTGATAGTTTTGGCGGAAAATCTTTTAGATGAGAAAGTGAATTATGTTTCGAGGGAAAAATAATTTTTTGGTGAAGGCAGAAGAAATCTGATTTTTATGTTTTGTCGTGGTAGCGAAGAATCCAATTTTGATATTTTTAGGAGAAAATCTTAATATACGATTTGGCGGAAAAAAACTCAATTTTGTGATTTTATCGGAAAAATCTGACTTTACAGTTTTGGTGAGGAAAACATGTTCTACGATTTTGGCAAGAAAAGTCGTTGTAGAGGTTTTTGCGAGATAACTCGATTTTAAGGTTTTGACTAGAACTCGGTTTGTTTTTTTTGGAAAGCAAAAATTGATTTTATGATTTTTCGGAAAAAAATCTGATTTTTTGGGTATTGGTGGAAAATTCAGCTTTACGGTTTTAGCGTAAGAACTCAATTTATCATTTTAGCCAAAACACGATTTTTGCGAGAAATTATTTTTTGGATTTTGGTATGAACCCCAATTCTATGATTATTCGCATAAAAACTACATTTTATCATTTTAGAAGGAAA